TATGTTATGTGCATTATATCTCAATAAAGCTGTTAAAATTTATGTGGGAGAATATGTAAAACAAAAATAAACCTATTTCTAAGACTTGCCTAACTACTGATGCCCAGATATGAAAATGTTTTTATTGTTTACAGATGTCAAACATGTATTCCTTAATTTTCATGTAGTTAATTATATTTTGAAAAGGTCAGAAAATAAACACAAACCACAAAGTAAAAGAGACAATCAATTTTAATTGCATAATTGTAGTCTCAATTTTGAACTATACTCATCTTCAAGAGACTGTTTATACTGATTTAAAAAAAAACTCAATTTCATTAAATAGATAGCATCCCTATAACCACCAATGTGTGCTTCTGTGATCCACATAATTTAGCAAGCAATCCGAACGTTTTTCTCTCACTGTTTATTACTACATTTATGTCCTAGTAACTTATAGATTGGACAATTGCCATTTATGATCTGTTAAGCCACTCTTGAAAAGCACTCTGGGGGCTTTGGTTAATGTAGAACAGGAAGTCTGTTCTTTGTTAGAAGCATATTTTCCAGATAAAATTCAAAGGGTTGCTTTTCAGCATACTGTATAAAACCATAGATAGCACAAATCTGGGAATTCTCAGTCTCTAGCAGTCTCAACATTTTCCCCAAAAGGAGGCATTGGCACTATTATCTCTTAGACTGATTTTTGTTGGGCTATGTCTTAGCTACACCAAACCCTGTAATCATCACAACTCAACACATTAACCTTTACATCCAGGTAAGTGACCACTATTGGTCATTACTGTTTCCAGGCCTTTTCTTGTTGTCCACTTTTCTTCTACTGGGACCAATCCTGCTTCTACTCAGAGAGGATTTGAGGAGCAGTATTTCAGTAGTCTGGTGGCTTAGCATCCAGTGGGCCTATTGCTTCCGGTCCTACTTAGATCTCACAGACCAATTGAAGTAACTGGGTCTCTTGGGTGCCATTTTTATTCACCTGTCTCTGCCTTTTCTCGTGGACTTCACCTGACATGCCGATTCATTTAGGCTTGGTGCGCTGCCTTGTTTAGCACTGTTTTTCCAGACCTCTTAAGGGATTGTTCATTTGTTTCTTAATCCCAAACCCCCTGACTGGATTCCTACTATGTACTGCTTGCTTCATTCTCTGCCTAGTGCCTGCCACCAGACTGGATTCTATTCTCTGCCTGCCTGACAGGACATCCATCGTTAGGCTTCCAGAGTTTAGCTGTCTGCCTTCTTGCCTACTGTTACACAACCTTCTGCTTTACCAGTCTTTCCAGACTCTTTCTGTTGGTGACTACAGGAACCTTGTTAGCTTTCCTGTCCTGACCTAATGAGTCTCTTTAGTGTCTGGGTATCAGGCTCCTTGGTCTGGCTCTGCCTGCCAACGACATGTACCTGTTAAGATACTATCTCCCAGTTTACTACTAGGTTTTTATTGCCTTGGGCCAACGTTTTAGTAATTCTTGTTTACTTTTTCATTCCCTTTGTTTCCTGTATGTAATCTGTGGAGAGGAACAGTGTGTTCCTTTAAACATCTCTTGGATTCGTTCCTTTCTCTTTATTTCCTCTGGGGCTACTCTAGCTCCGATCCTCATGACTTTATCCAGCAGGACTCTATCTAGTTTTAGCTAGAGTTCAGCACTGGTGCCTCAAAGGGTCGCCTCAGAGGATAAGAGAGAAGCCAAGCGGTCATGAGGACTGAAATCTCCATTCCCACAGTAACTTCAAACAGGTCAGCTAGATTTGTATCTATTGTACATACTGAGCTTCTGTAAAGGTTTTGTTTGGGGGAAAAAAAATTCTGCACTGAGAGAAAAATAAGTTGGAGAATCAGTGTCCAGTTATTCTGCATACCACTGCTAGACCAGCTCCTTAAAATATTCCTTTATTTTACAACATTCCTGCTAAATATCCTTATCAGTCACTACTATTATGTCTTATATTTAAATCTGTTTACATACTGGGCAAACGCTATGGGGAGAACCATGTTTCCTACTATTATTCAACATCTATATTCTCACCATTCTACTCAAGCCCCACTGGCCCCTCTACATTATTGGTCAGTATTGTTTCCAGGCCATTCCATATGTTGTCTTTTCCTTACTTCCTTTCTTTGCTTTGGCTATTCAAGTATGATTTCTGCTTCAGCCCTTGGCAGTTCAAGTTCTCCTTGAAAACTTCTTCTTCTATTCTAGGCCTGACAAATCTTACCCCTTCACCACATTATCCTGAATTTTGGGTCAGGACCTCCGAATCAGGCAGCCAATTTGCTCCTACTGTTCCACACATTCGTTTCCTTGTTTGTTTTCTCAAGCAGATTTTATAACTTTGATGGCAAAGAATTTATATTTTACACTCTGTTCCATTACAAGGGTTTGTGTACCACAAATAGCACATTAGTGATTGGTAAATAGGAGAATGGTGTCATTAAAATTAGGTGGAAGGCCAGCTGGTTCACGTGTGAAGTGTTTTAGCACTTTAAGTTTTGACGTGATCAGGAGCCAGCTTTCTCACAATTAAAGAGAAGGCTTCACAATATGAAGACTTTCAGAAAAAAAGAAGAATCCTGCACAAAACTGCCCCTTTTTTGTGACTGGTTTAGTGATTTCAACAACCTCTAAATTTCCCATCACATTAAACTAGCTGGTGAAGCTGTGAGTACTGATAATGAAGCTGTGAAGACCTTTCACTGTGTGATTCTGAAAAGTTGGTTACTCCTCAATTAGATTTTTAATTCTGATGAAAATGGCATCTATTAAAAGTAAATACCCTTGAGGATTCACATTGGGGAAAGAGGAAGCGTGAAGGCTACCAAGCATTGATGGCTGTGATGCTGGGTGCAGATGCCAGTGGAGATTCAACCTCCTGAGTGTTTTTATTAGGATGGTTATTGTTTACATTAGTGCTCTGATTACAAATTTGCATTGGGTTTAAGTGACCTTCCCTAACCACGTTTTCCCCAGGAGCCCTGTTATTTTTAGTGTGCAATTTTGCAGAACAGGAGATTCTTCAGGAAGACATGTATGCCTTTAGAGCAGAACATCTGGTACTTTTTGATTCGCACGACATCTAGTTTGGTGTTGCCCGTGTAGTATGTGCTTAATAAATACTTGTTTATTCTCAGGCAACCTTTAATTCATAAATATTTTTCCATAACCTTGGAGGTGTTTATTTCTTACTTTTGTCTAATCCATGTTGGCTTTAATTTCTCTATTAATGGCCCAGATTATTTAGAGGAGAACACGTAGCAGAAGGGAGACACAGAAAGCCAGGATGAATTGGGACTAACATATGCACACTAATGTGTATAAAACAGATAAATAATGAGAACCTGCTGTATAGCACAGGGAACTCTGCTCCACTCTACCCCAACTGAAAAAATAAAAAGAAACCTCTGGGGTAATGGATGGCTCTAAGATCAGTTTGAAGAAAGAGCCTAGCAGCCTTTTATCTTTCTTTTTTCCCAGGGCTGGCTTTTAATGTTAACCGGGTGCTAAACTCATGAGAGGCCAGAGGGAGAGACTACAAGGTCAGCGGGTCTAACACACACTTTTGAAGTCCCAACTGATGGTAGTAGCCTTCTTCTTTCTGCAGCATCAGAGAAAAGATGTCTCTCCATCCACCGGCCTATTTGTGTGTCCCAGGAAGGTAAAAATAAAGAAATGTAGTGGGATCAGCCCTAGGACTGCACTTGGTGAGGTGCCTGGTTCATAATCAGTGGACAAAGTGTCCTTGCAGGGGACCACTGGCTCCTTTTGTGTGTTAGCTTCCAAGAGAGGCCCTGGTATTTGAAGGAAGGGGGTTGGTTTGTTTGTTTGTAATGACTGTTTACATTAATTGGAACAAAATGCGGAAAAGAAAACAGCCAGAATTAAGATGGGGCTGAGATAACCACAATAAAGTCAAATGTAAGCCATCTCAGGGACAAACTTTCTCACTTTTTGCAGTACAGATTATGCATCTTTTACATGTACCTCTCACTTGACTTCAAATGTAGCTTCACCTGGCTTGAGGATGGTGAAACCCAGCCTTACACTCAAAATAATGTTGATCCATTTTCAAATATTCACACACTCAAAACAGAAGTCACTTGTATTACAACGCCTTCACCGCTTTTAAAACCAGACCAATGAGATCTACAAGTGGGGACCTTCATGATCTGGAAGCTGCTCATCTGTTCTGCTTCTCTTGCCAAGAGCAGCCCCTATCCGTCACCTCCAATTTCTTAACCACAGAGTCTCTGCACATGCTATGGTCATTTCCTTTGCCTGGGATGCTCTTCACTCTCCTTTTTTGCCTTGTAATTGCTCAATACTTTTTTGTTTAATATCCTTCCCGATAGCCAAAAAATTCCACAAGAGCAAGCCACATCCGTCTTGTTCACCACTGGAACCTCAATGCCTAGCAGGGTATCAAACACTTAGTAGGCTGTCAACAAATACTTAGTGTCTTCAGTCAGACCCTTAAGACTCAGCTCAAACATCATCCTCTTTGGTAAGGTGTCCCAGAGTCTCTGGCACTCCGGTGGTGACCCCCCTCATGTGCTCCTTGGGCTCCCTGTTCCTATGTGTTGCAATGAAGCACAGTCATTAACAACTGGCCTCTCCCAGTAGACTAGGAGGTTCTAAAGGGCAGGACTGTGAGCTTCATCCTCCTAACCCACAGCACTCTGGATATCACCTGGTATACTCTAAGGAGCTCAATAAAGATCTACTGGGCAGATTATTAAGCAACATTTGAGCTTGGGGGTTACTCAGCTATGGCTCACACCCACATCTCTCAAACAGGAATTACGTGAAAGCAGTGGATAACCAGGTCACATCTTACTGCAGCAACCACTTCTATGCCATTTTTCAGGAGGGGGGGGCATTTAAGTAATTCAAATCATACGTGAGTGAGTGTGTGTGTGTGTGTGTGTGTGTGTGTGTGTAGTGAGCTAAATTCAGAATATACATCAAATTTTAAGTCAAACAGAAACTTCAACAAAGCAAATTTACCTTAGGACTCCTTGCCCATCCTGTCTGGGAGCATGTATTCCCTCTTCTCTGCTGTCCTTGGGTAGTTTACCATCTGCATGATTAAAAAGAAAGTTAATGACAATGGCAAAGCCAGGATTAAGACCGCTTTCAGATGTCTAACATTCTTTTTATTCTACTTTCCAAGTTAATTGCCTCATCACAATCACACCTACAGCATGGTCAAATTTATCCTAATGCACTCTCAAAAAATATGTTCATAAACATATTAGCTTCGGCATAGCAGAAGTTAGGCTGAAGGGGAGAAGGGCAAAAGGGTCATAGCCTGAAGATACCTGAATAACAGGCACATGAGCATGTTTATAGACCTGGTATCTAAATTTACATTTCAGGTAGCTTCTCTAGATTGTATGATGGTGGTTCATTCAAGTTCTGCCCGGCCCCGCTAATGTTCTCAATGTGAACTTTATTTTTAAAGCGGCGTGGGCCTCTTCCTGACAACTGCAGGAGGAAAGATTACGAATACCAGCGGTGCCCTGTTGCTGCTGCTGCACCAAATCACCTAGCATTTGTCTAGAGATTTACATTTTTAACAAAGCTTTGACACACATGATCTTATTCGCTCCCTACAACAACTATAAACCTAAAGTAGCTCAGGAAACTGAAAATAGCACTCAATCCAATTGTTAGCTCTCCATAGGTGCTTTGGCTAAAGAGCCTTACACCTCCTTGGGATTAAGCAGTGGGCGCCTGCTGCTTCTACTACCTGGCAGCCTGGGAATAAAGGAACGACTGTATTTCTTTGGTCGCAACGCAATCATGGCAACAGAAAGCACCCACTTCTTCCACTTTCACCCGTACAGTCTGTCTAGGCAATTAATCAGCGCTCCCCTTGAGGGTTTTCCTACAGGATGCTAGTTGCCTTGCCAATCAACCCCTCCCACGGAGTGGAGCACAACCACACCCCCAGCGAGGCCTCGGCCAGCCGGGAAAGGTGCTCTGGCCTACACGAGTGGAAGCGGAGACTCAGGTAAAACTCACACGTGAATCCTGCCGGGCCTCAGTGTCCCCATCTGTAAAATGGGCTACACCTCCTCTCTCCTGGCTAGTTCCCTCCCATTTCACGCTAGGCCCCTAGGAAGGGAAATCAGTGCTTAACCGCAGCTTAAAGTCCTTTAGTTTGGCAGCTGTCGCCGTGCCGGGCATGCTCAGTAGCCCGGCCGGCTCGGCAGCAGGACTAGGAAGCAGCTTTCCGCGCCCGGGCGGCGGACTGCGGGCACTTTGATGAATCACGTGTGCGGAGGCCCTCTTAAAGAGATAGGCACCTACTTTCCCTCCACCCTAAACACCACCCTGAGGGCGGCGGCGGCGGCGACCGTGGTAATTGCAGCCGCTCGGGGGCAGGGCTTGCCCCAGCGCAGAGTAGTGGCAACGGCTTGTCGCGTCGGGAGCCCCGGGGACGTGAACTCGGCAGACCCACTCTCTCCCCCTCCCAGGAGGAGGTGCTGCCAAATCCACGCGGGGCAGCGGGACCGCCCCGAGGGGCTTCCTCAGTGGAGGAGAGGTGGGGTTCCAGGGCACAGGTGACAGGGCCGGAGAAAGATGGAGCAGCCCGGGGCGGCGGCGGCGTCGGGCGCCGGAGGCTGCGGCGAGGAACCCGGTGGGGGCCGAAGCAACAAGCGGAGCGCGGGGAACCGGGCCGCCAACGAAGAGGAAACGAAAAACAAACCTAAATTGGTGAGTGCTCCCGCAGCCCCCGCCGGCCTTGGGGACAGCGAGAGCCCCGGGATCCTCCTGCCGTTGAACACGGGGGGACCCGGGGCCCCCTCCCAAGGGTGACCGCGACCTCGCTGTACAACTCCGGGAGCCGCTAAAGCAGCGGCCACGCCGAGGCGCGGAGACGGCGTGGGGGCGGAAGAGCACCCCCTTCTTCACTTAACCCCTTTCTCCCTCTTGGCAGCCCGGGAGGCGGTGCGGGAAGGAGAAAGGCCCCACCCCAACTTGGGGAGACCCCGAGTACCGGGTAGGGGCTGTTGTTTGTCTAACTTGTGGGCGCGAACCTTCTTTGCGCGATTCCATTCCCCTCCCACCCTTGTCAGTTGCTGGGTTTTTGCCTCTTAAAGCTTAGGGTTCGGGCAGGGGAGCCTAGCTCTTTTTTTCAGTCCCACTACTTGGGAGCCCACCCACAGACTTACAGAAAAACCCCAAAACAACCAATTAACCAACCGAACAAAAAATTCCCAAAACAACAACAAAAAACACACAACGTAGGCCCCCAGTCTTTCTACTTGACCAGATATCTAAGGAAGAGGCGCCTACATGATTCTTTCCCCCTTGCCTCTCCATGTGCTCTTCCAAGAAACATTTCTTTGGAAGAGTGGGGGGAGCGTGGGAGTTAGAGGCTGGCTGAGGTACCACCAACTGTCGTGTGTGTAATCGTCAGAGTCGGCCAGTACTTCCAGTTAGTTGATTAAGAACGCTCAAAAGCAGTAGGCAGACCGCACAAATCTCCCCGTCCTGAGAGTGTGTGCCCCAGTGGGGAGCAGTCCATTTCCTGCCCCTGACTTCATGTGCAGAGGAATGAAATCTATGGGGCCTGGTATTAGATTGAGAAATACTGGAGTGTCTTCAACTCATCAGTTAAAACGGTTCCTCTTTTTTTTTTTCTCCTTCAGCTTATAGGAAAATGGTTTAATAATAGTGAAACTTAAAAACAGGTCAAATTCTTACAGTATATTGGCCAAAGACTATTTTTGCCAACACTGTCAAATATTAGGCAGACGTTTATCAATAAACTTTCTAATTTGGGTGGCAGAGGGGATATGGTTTTCTAGCACAAATTCAGCAAATACTCTGTCTGAAGGTTCTTCGTTTAGGTCTGGAGCACAAGCCCCATGTTGCATATCTAGTTTTCTGTTTTAACCAGCAACTTGATTATAATAAGGAAGGAGGCAGTGACGTATAACTATAGCCTTTTCTTAGGTATCTGGCCATTTGGTATGTACCTGTTGTGCTTCTCTCCCTTGCCTGCTGTTTGCCTTTCAATTATGAACTGTCCAGATTGGAAAACAGTGACCGAAGTGTTATCGTTGCAGGAAATATGTAGCCTTCCATTATGTGGAAAGGGACCTAGTGGGGTAGAATAAAACAACCAGTCTAAAGTCTCATCAATTCCACCCTAACTTGAGGCAAATTAAGAATTACTTGATGTGTCCTCTTATCCCCACCCCCCCCAAGTATTTACAAGTGAAGGAACTGAGTCACAAGCTCTTTGTGAATTGTCTATACTGGCAGGGGGTTAATGGGATTAATGGGTGTCCCTGTTATAAAACTTAGAAAAGTTTTGCGAGTGTATTACCAAAGTTTAATGTATTTAAAAATCCTGATGTTGAAATTTTATCAGTTTGCGGTAAAAGAGTGATCATGTTTCTTTCTTTCTTTTTTCTTTTTGGATCCAGTACAAAACTGGTTTAAACAGTGATTAAAAGTTTAAGCAAAAGTAAAAGCAAACTGATAGTTTCCACAAAGAGTTTGGTACATCTAGCAAGAGCCTTCCACTTGTAGGATGTGTGAGCTCAAGAAAAAGCACTTATCTCTGTCTGTTAGTAATGACACCTTGATTCTATTCTTCCCATCCTTTTGGTCATTTGTCCTGTTTCATCTTTTATGCTTTGACAAGGTAACTAGAAAGTTATGAGATGGTATCACTTTCAGTTCCTAGCTAACACTATTCGGTGTTGAGTATAGCTTGATATAGTAGAACAAGTATTTGAATCCAAGAGTTTGTGAATATCAATGGGAAATTGCTTTTGTACTCAAAATAATTTTTGAGCCTTACATGATTTTACAAGCAGATATGTCAGAGTTTATAAACATAAATTTAGGAAGACATTTCAGCACATTTAAAGGCAAGAAAGTTGACCAAATAATAAGACTTGGAAAACTTTTAAAGTAAATGCCTTACTCCTTATTTTGAGTTGTCTTATTGAAGTGCTCAACATGTTCTAAGGCCATGTAGAGAGGAGTTCATCTGGGATTCTTAATAAATATTGCTGGTAAAATAAAGCTTTACCTAGACTAAATTTTATTCTTTTGAGTATTATGTTGTTAACCACTGCAGTAGTCCTTAATTGTGTTTGTGTGTGTGTGTAAAGGAGTTGTGGGGGATTGTAAAAGAGAGCCATATGGTAGTAGAAATTATTTGTGTAGGTGATTATGGGGGTTAAGGGTTCTTAAACTGAAGTCATATGAAAAAATTTGAGTGTATGTAGGTACATTCAGTTTTCTGGGCCTCATAGTTTTCATCAGTTTCTCAAAGGCCTATGTCTCCTATAGAAGAATAAGAACTTTTGGGTTACCAGAGAGAGAGTAAAGGAAATGCCGGTTGATTCCACTTGAAGAGACTGGGGAGAGGAGGAGGTCACCGACAAGGGAGAAGGGAAATAACACTGACCACACTAGTGGTAGATATTGAAGATAGTGCGTCTGGGAGTAAGCGGTTAATTACACACATCTATATAGTATTAGCTAAAATGAAAGTTTTTACTGCATACAAAATTTAAATTGATAGCTATGGTATAGTGGATGCGTACAGTATAAGGCTTGTGATTCAGTTGTTTTCATTTAGTTTCTCATTGTTCTGGGAAACTGGAGAAGGAAGGCATGTTTTCTATAGAGAGGAACTACTTTCATTTATATCCTCAACCTTTTGATGGGTATTAGAATTTTTTCAGAGCGACATTTCAGGACTCTTAACGACTTCTGCTTGAGATTAATTAAATCAATTTGACAAAGCTTACTTCCATTTTCTTCATCTGTGCATCCTCATAATGACCCTTTTATTTTGGTTCTTTTTAATGAAGGCAACCTTGTTTTGGACTCATCACAGTTTGGATAATGCCTTAGTAGTAGAGCTTTGTATTTTATGTAACTATCTGGTTAGGCCCAGATTGTAGCATGTCATCAAACAGCATGAATCTTAATTAGTAATTTGATGTCAACCATGGAATGTATTTTGTCAACTCAAGTAGTACAGAGAGCTCTAGAAGTGTCATGAAGGGGACATCCTAAATCCCACGTTTTTAAGGCAGTGACTTAACCATTAATAGAGGCTAGTGTTAAGGTAGAACCAGCAGTCCTCACACACATACCATGGTGTAGAGTGGCTTAACATTCTTTGATGTTTTTGCATTTTGACTTTGTGTTTCTGTATAATTCCTGAAGGCTTTGGTTTAGATAGTAGAGTCACATTAGTAACTTGAAATAACAGAAGTTAATGTTCTAGTTCTTACATAACTTCCTGAGTATTTGGTTATTTGTTTTTAGTTGGATAAATCATGTTTTGATTTTAATTGATAAAGGCTGAGCACAGTGTGTTCCTGTATGACACACACTTACTGAGCACGTACTACGTTCTAGGCATTATTCCGAAGATTGGTGATACAAAGGTGCCATTGTCTAGCGAGGGAGACAGGGAAGTTAATTATTGACTACAGAGTGGTGTGATAAGGAACAATGGGAATATGTATTAGCAGGGTGATAATAGAAACGTGGAGAGGCATCTGAATCTAATTGGATGCTCGAGTGTGGTAAGGAAAGGCTTACCATAGTAGGTGACATTTGCACCAAGGCTTGAAGAATAAGGCATTAATTGAAGAAGGGGAGGGAAAGGCATTTAAGAGTGAAAGAACAACAAATACAAAGGTAGAGAGACGTGGTAGCATGTCCAGTAAAGAAGCTGTGGATAGATGTTAGTGGCTGAAACAAAGGTTCCACATGGTAGACCCGTTAGAAAAGAGAGTGAGTCCAGTTCATGATGGGTATTTGTATCCGTGTTAGAGTTTCAGCTTCTTTCTGAAAGCCATACTAAGTCATTGAAAAAATGCTAAGGAGGAGACTGAGCTGATCAGAATTGTGTTTCAGAAAGAAACTTAATACAATGGAGAATTTCTTGGACAAGGATGTCAGAATGGAGGCAGGAAGACCAGTTAGGAGGAGCAGAATGGCATAAGAGTTTGATGTTTAGGGTTAGAGACCTAGATTCTAATTGCAGTGCATCCATTCATCCATTTCCTAGCTCATCCATTTACTCGGCATATTTCTCTACATCTCGGTTTCCTCCTGCCGATCCATTGCCTCTCCTTCCTGCTACCCACCCTGAACATCTTCACCAAATTGGAAATGTCCACCATATTTCTCCTTTATAAATCTAACCCGCCTCTCACAGTCCAGCTGGTGCCTCATAATTCTCTCATTCTTCCATTAAACTTCAGCTTACTGAAGGCTCTTCCTTATTCTGAATTCCTATCGTGGGTCTGAATGTTATATGCTGATCTCATACCTCCAAAAGATTTTAAAGTGCTTCTGGGCAAGGGTCCTGCTTTATGCCTATTCTTGAAAACCTTGCAGACCGGTGCTGGTGTGCAGAGCTACTCAACAAATGATTATTAGCTGGGGATTCTTTCCCTATAGGCCACACATTTTGAGAGTGTAAATTGTTGAAAAGAGGCTTTTTGAAAAAGAAATGTGCCATTTTTTCTCTTAGAATATATGCTCCATCAAATGAACCTATCTGTACATTCTTCTGTGTCCTTTCTCTAATTTTGAAAGTCGAGAAACTTCTTGGCTGGACGATCTCATCCCTTACTGCCTCGTTTGTTTGGTTGGGTTCTTGTGATGTCACAGCCTGAACTTCCGTGTGGGGAACCAGTATCAAAAAAAAAAAAAAAAGGTACAAA